CGACCATGAAAAGAGTTTTGAGGGCAGAAAATCACAACAATAAGGATTAATTCAGAAAGAGGCCCTGGGAAGGGATCATTCGCAATGATTTATGGGATATGTAGTTCCTTCACTCTTAAATTAATGTATAGTACAATCATTTTTTTGCTCTGAATCAAATGTTTTATGACCTGGATTCATCTTGTCGCTGGTCGTCCTGGTTAAAGGGTTTAAAAACTCTTAGATAAAGGATTTTCTGACATTTCAAAATAAAATGAAGGGAGATTTGCCTCTAGATCCAGAGCCGTTCTTCACACTATTACGCTCTATATAAATGTTGTGCTATAGTACTGAGCTGCACAAATGTTGGGAATGTTTGGAATCTGCAGCAGCAAATCAGAAAACCATGTGTGGCCCACACCAGACAGCAGAAAGAGGAAAATAAAACAGGGAAAAAAGTATTATGTATTCATTACGATTAGAACGAAGCTGGGCTGCAACTTCTCATTTTGTTGATTAATCAGCTTGAAATATGGGTGAGAGTTGTCTGACAATAGTGAAAAACACTTTCACAATTTCACACAGTTCAAAGTTGCCAAGACAAAGAAGCAGCAAATCTAGAACCTGCAAAGTTCAGCATTTTTGGCTTAAATAAATTATCCATATGGTTAATCAATTTTTAAAATATTTAACAAATTGATTAACCAACCAGCTCATTTAAAAAATGTGTCTATAAATCATGTTGTGTTTAATTTCTATCAACCAGCTAATGCACCTTCTAAAAGTGTCCCAGAAATAAAAAATAAAGCACATCATTAATAAATAACTACCCTCCATTATATCACTTATCCTTTAAGATTATTTTAAATTATATTTGATATTTTAATTGGCAGTAACATGATGATTGACAAATTAAATATTAATCCATCAAATTAAAAGAGGTTTACAAAAGCCTCCCTTTGGGGAAAATAAGAAGCTCTCTGATTGGTTGGAGAGCCACACCCACCATCTCTTCCAACACAAAAGAAAACCCTTTTTGCCAACATCAGTGTCTGACCCATCCAATGGTTGATTTGCATTATTGTCGTACCTCATTTTACCAGCACGTGTCCCAAAGTGTCGATAAAAGGCTGAAAGAAGAAGCTGAGTGACAAAACAAATCAAAAGCAAATATGAGAAGGAAAAGCAGCGTGGAAATGGAAATGCTAATTAGAAAGGAAATTGCCTCTTTAAATGCCTGATTAAAATCTGTATTCTTCATTCAATTTGTAAATCCAGATTTTTCATTCTCATTCAAATACCATTATTTATTTATGAATATTTTAACATATTTTTTTATTGATATTCATATTGACTGTTGTTTTTGTAAATCTCTCTTTGAATTATCTATTGATGGATTAAATTCCATTCGTAAATTATTTTTAGAATTCCTCTTTTCAATATCAAACTAATTTGTAATTAAGTCTATTCATGTATGGATTAATAATGCTTTGTCAAAAATAAATAAATAAAAGGATTTCAGTCAATTTTTATTGTAACACATGTGCTCCTCCAATCTCTACCATCACGCAAATGTGGTGCAAAGGCACAGACACAGAAATCAAGACCTCACACAATTTCTCAAGATCATGAAATAGTTTCCCTTGATTTCTCAGATCCTCAACACAATGCTGTGTTCATATTTCTCCAGTAGATGGCAGAGTTTTAATCAGAGCAGCCCATTTAGCAGCTGAACAAAACCAGATTCAACACTTACAATGGAGGATACACAAAAACTAACAGAAGAAAGGAGTCGTGTTTAAGCGGTCTCCGACGGAACCATTGTGTGGGACGCTGATAACAATGACATCACTTCCTTCCCCTGCCTTTGAGCTTGAGGGGAAGAGCCTTTTCATCCTCGGACGTCTGCTCTTTCCTTTAACCTCACATGTCGGCCTGCATGGCCTTTAGCTGTCCGTCAGCAGGACGGAGAGAGCAATGGAGGGTGAGCCAGCGAGTGTGTCAAAGGACAGGGCAGTAACGACAATGACACAGGATGAGAGTTGTTTTGTCCATGTTGACTCAGCACTATCTGATCTGCCAGAAGGACAACGAGAGGAAGGAAGGGCTGACAACACCACACAGGGGCTGCAAGACTCTCACCTGGTCAAACCTGAAACACGGCTGCTGCTGTAACATGAAAGTAAATATATGCAGAACACGTGGAGCAGACTTTTCCTGATTAGATAATCATCGCAGCAAACATCCCTGTAGCACCGAAACTAAGCAGCCAGATATGAAGCAAAACGTCAACTAATCTTTAGAGAAGGACTTTAACGTGTTTGCCATAAACTCTGAAGGGAGAAAAGAAAGTGTATTCTCACTATTTGCACCTCATCAATGAGCTGATGAAATGTGGGCCGATGGGTTGCATATCTTTTTGTTTCATGCATACTAGGGCTGGTGATCTAATAGTGTGAGCAAGCATTCAGAGGACAAAATAAATGTACTTACAACATTGTCTGATGGATTCATTTGTGTCTCACTGCACTTTTATAATCAAATTCCCTCCCTTCATTAGGATAATTACTCAGAGTCTGGAGAACGAGAGTCTGGGAGACTGTAATTTAATTAGAGAGACAGAGGGAGAGGACGGATGCATGGACAGACATTTGCCTGTGCATCTTGTTGTTTCTAAGGATGAGGCCTAACGCATCTCACCACAGTCCTCTGAGGTTCCTCAAAGAAAGAACTCTGGGCCATTAAAGTGCACGGCCAGTAAAGTACTGGTATTTATTACTCTGTATTTTCCAACTGACCAAGAAATCACCCTTGTTCGTGAAGATTAAAAATGTAAGAATGGAGCACGCACTTCACATACATTGTAATAAGCAGGTTTCTCCACCAGGTGGCGTTGCAGGACTATCAGAAACATTAACTCATTTAAATGTCGCCTTGCTTGCTTTGCTATTTCTTTCTCATTCAGTCACAAGCCTCACGTCTGCAGGTTCATGCGCTGGAATAGTAAACACAAGATATTTGCTGTGATTAGACTGTGGAAGTGCAGATAAGCTCTCTGGCCACAGCAGCAGTTCATTCCACTGTTTGATTCCCATCTGAAACTGAAGGTCAAGTGTGGTATTAGAGAACAGCCACCAACTAGTACCCATTAAATGAAAACCTTCTGACTCAATTTTCTCTTTAACAACTGCAATAAATCAGAGGAGCACCACCGCTGAGCAGACTAGGCCTCAAACCCAGGGCTGGCCAGCTGTTCCCATCCCGGCCAGTTAGATCTCTATCGATTCTCTGTCTTGCTGTGAAACCACTATAACCATCTCACCCATATGAATGCTGAGGTCACAGCACCGGCCTGGGATCCAGTCTGGGTTCTGCCTCTGAGGCAAGATTTGTCTCACTAACTCTGGGCTCAGGAGCATGATGCTGCTGCTAAAAACGTCTTTTTACTTCCTGCTTCAGCCCCTGTAGCTTCACCTCTCCCCCTCCCCCCCTCGCCAAGACACATCACTAAAATCGACCACACCCCACCCCACCCCACCACACACACACACCCCACCACACACACCCACACACAAGATTTTGCATGACTGTAAAGAGCAGGATACTCTGGTGAAAATAGGGTTGGATGATACAACCAAAAATTATATCAAGATAAAAAACTTCATGTCAGTTGTTCAATAATTATAACAATAGATGTCACATTATTTATTTAACACTGATTTTTGCACCTGAGTGACGTTTGTAGTTTTAAATTCTTTATGGGCAGAGACAAACACTTGATAAAAAGCAAAAACATTTTACAGATCTGAGGTAGGACATTATGTGCTTTTGCTCCTCGCTGTGCACAGAGAAATA